TATGCCATTGGTATTTTAATAGAGATTGCATTGAATCTTTAGATTACTTTGAATAGTATGGACATTTTAATGATATTGATTTTACTAATCCATAAACACGGTATTTTCTTCCACTTGTTTATATCTTTATCTCTTTTTCTAACATCCTGTAGTTTTCCAACTATAAGTCTTTTACCTCTTGGTTGAGTTTATTCCTAAGTATTTTAATTTTTTTGTAGCAATGGTAAATGAGATTGCTTGTTTAGTTTATATTTCTAATAATTCATTATTGGTATGAAAATGTTATAAATTCTGGGTGTTCATTTTGTATCCTGCTACATTACTGAAATTATTTATTAAATATAGTAGTTTTTTGTGCAGTCTTTAGGGTTTTGTATGTTACAAAATCATGTCATCTGCAAATAACAATAGTTTCATTTCCTCCTTTCTAATTTGCTAAATGAAATTAACAAGTTAGAAGGAAGATACGTATCAAGTGATCTCATATGTGGAACATAATGAACAAAATAAGCTTATGAACAAAATAGACCCAGAAACATAGAACCATGAATAAACTGATGAGTTTCAGAGGCAATGTGGGTATGTGGGGAAGAAATTAATCAGGGAACTTATACAAAGCACATGGAAAAGACAACAGTGTGGCAAAGGCTTGGGGGGGGTACAGGAAGGAGGAGGTCAGTGGGGGGATAAAACACACAAAGTGGACATCTGTAATACTTTCAACAATGAAGATAAATTTAAAAGAAAGTAAATGTGAAAGGTAAAATTATTCAAATCTAATTTCCTAATAATAGGTCAGGTTCTAACATTCATTTATAAATTGTTGGCACTGTTCATCTGTTTCTCACCTCAGCCAAGTCTTCTTAATTTATACTTTCTCACAGCTGGATCACTCTGGAATTTTTATTGTCTCCATTGATATTATATGAAAGTCTTGAATCTTCTAATTTTATACTATCACTTCAAATGAACTGGTCTAGTTATTTTGCCTAATCCTTGACTTTGCATTATTTATCTTGTCTTTATTTTCAAATGCTATCTTGGTATATTGACATGATGACTAACTTTACTTGCAGTCTCAGGTTTACATAAACTTTCTCAATCTCAGTTCTTCATTTTGTGTCCGGAATATGGTATTATTCAGATTTTAGCGATTATTAATAATCTATTCAATACTCTATAATGATCTACTGAATACATTGTCCCTGTTTAAACAAACAAACACGAAGCAACAACAAAAATTTTGAAAATATGTACCCCCCCCAAACAAAATATAATAATGTCATCTATATGAAACTGTTTCTGAATGTCTTTTTAAAAATATTTTTATTGATTTTTAGAGAGAGAGAGGAAGGGGGAGGTATACAGCAATAGAAATATCTATGTAAGAGAAACATCATCTATCAGTTGCCTCTTGCATGGCCCCTACTGGTGATCAAGCATGCAATCTGGGCATGTGCTCTCACCTGAGTCTAACTGCTGACCTCTTGGTTCATGGGTCAGTGCTCAACCACTGAGCAACACAGCTGGGCTGTTTCTGAATATGTTATTCGTGCTTTTCAACATTGAATTCTCATATCACCCCATAGTAACCACTAACAGTGCCCAATATCTCCACGTCTGTTCCCAGATCTTACCTTGTAGGGAATTGATTCATGTTCTGAAGACAAATCTTCATTAAAAAATGTCCCTCCTAGCAGAAATTCTCCTTGCACTCTGTGGCAACAGGCAAGAGGAGCCTGGTATCCCAAGATAGGAATGGGAGTGCTTTTTCCCTGGATACCCAAGGGGAACTGTGAGATCAGTCATAGCCATTGGATGCACTATCCCTGAAATAGAAATTGCTTTTGGCATGATGATCTGTCATTTTTTATATGTTTGTGGTAAAATATGTTTCAGATTTTAAATAATACCTTCAAATATTTTAAAACACCACAGCTGTTTCTCCCCCCTTAGAAACTGCCTATTCTTTATTCTTAAATAGGGACTTCAAATGATCATTTGAAAAGGTTATTATCTTTTTTATATCTCTGTTTTTCATTGTTAAAGTTATCCTATATAATAAAAGCCTAATATGGTAAGTATCCAGTCAGTCATTCAACCAATCCACATATAATATGCTAATGATATGCTAAGGCCACTCAACTGCTCGCTATGACATGCACTGACCACCAGGGGCATATGCTCCAATCAGTAGGTTAGCTTGCTTCTGGGGTCTGGCCGATAAGGACTGAGCAAAATGGGCCTATAGTGTTGCTGTAATTTGTTTCTCTGCTTTGCTTTCATCATGGCTGGCAGCTGCCCAAAGGTTTCCAGTAAATTTGTTTTAGTGAATTACTTTTTCTCCCCTTGTACTTCTCTTTGCTCCCTCTCTGCTGCTGGCTAGATGCCCACTATACCCTGGTAGACTGTACTTTAAGAACAGATGAAAAAAAAATCTGTTCATGGTGTTTTAGACAAGGTTTTTATTTGTTTTTCACAGTTGACCAGTTCTTGCAGCTTCTCTTTGTGGCTAGATTGAATCCATCTTCTCTTCAAATTGCGAGTTTAGCTATTTTAGAATTTTAGATTATTTTTATAGGACACTATGAAACAGACAGCCTTTTATATTTTCTTTAGATAATCTCTATTGCCCTAACCATTTTTTCTTAATCTTCTGAATACTGAAGACAAAATAGCTTTCCACTTTTAAGTATTTATCTGTGAATTATGCATAAATGGAGGCACCTAACTTGATGAAATTACTGAATCAGACAACTTAAGGCAGAAAATTACTCAAATATTGAAATGTTTAGGTCTTCAGAGACAGTCAAATCATATAGGTGAATAGACAACCTTAAATTAAGAATAATGATAAGTGATTTGCTATTTACGTTGTATATATGAAGCATGTATATATTAACATATTCTCATTCTTACAGTACAGTGAGGGGGTACACTTTTGCTGTGTCTTAAGCAGTAGCTTTGCTTCTCAGTGACATAATAGTTCATTAATTTACATAATTTAATGTTCCAAGAGCTTGATTTGAAGAGATGCAAAAATAATACAACTCTATTGTGGTTCCTTTTATTAAATGAAAATGAATATAATGAAAATACCTTCATCTAGATTGATTATTGAGGTTAACCTAACAAGTCTGTAATTTACGTAATTCCTGTAGGAAATATTATAGCAACAGGATTAAGCTAACTTATATAAAAGGATTAAGCTAACTTATATAAAGGTATATATGATCGCATTTTTCTAAAGGCAAAGTATTATCAAAGAAATGGGCAATAATTTTGGCATCCTCTGCAGGTTAATGACTAATAAGAGTTAAAATTAAAACATAAATTATGTGTACTACCTACATTTACAAAGTAGAACAAGGAATTGAAAACCTTGAAATAAGACTTAAAAAAGTGCAATTTCTTCCAGCTTTAGCTTATATATTAAAACTATATTTTCTGTTTAAGAGTAGTTTCTCTATTAAAGGTAACATTTAGGTCCTATGACAAAGTACCAGGTATACTCGATATTGAATTTAAATATTTCAATGGCCAATCCTGTTACCTTGAGCAAGTCTAATATATACCCAAAATTGCTTTGCTGATATTTTGGAATATTTGTTCAAATAGTCTTAAAATATATAATCTAAATTTTATAATCTGTTTTCATACTACTTATTTTTTTTAAAACCAACTGGTTATTTTAAATTTTCAATGTGACACATTACAGAAGAATGACTAGGTAGTTTGAGGAAGAGAGGCATTAGACATTCTGGTATTTGAAACTTCAGTCATGTTTTATATATAGCAAATCTTTAACAAATGCCAGAAGCTATGAAGTGTCTAAGGTATACTGTCTAACTGAGTATGACACTATGAAAAGCAGTTTTATCCTAGAATAAGAAGAATAACAGCTGACATATTTTACTTCCTCTCTAATAATTTCATTATTAGGATCTAGATCATCTTTCAATAAATAATTAACAAAGATAATCAATATCGCTTTTATAAAAAGTTTAATATACATATATATATTTTTTTCTTATTATTTTTAAAAAAATTTCTTAATGTGGTAGAAATGTAAAAGAACAGTGCTTTAAATTGGGGTCATGCCAATCTAAATCAGTTTGTTTAAGTAATTTTACAAATAATTGGTACTAAAGCACTGCCTAATGTTATTGCTCTCCTACAAATTTTATTAAATGGAAAGTACCAGAGCTTTTATTTTAAAGGTAGTAAAGTTGATAGACACTGTGGAAAACAATAAAGCATATAACATATTTGAGAATAGTACAAAAGTAACAGGGATTTCTTCTTATTACTAGTAAAATCCAATGTAATTATTCCTTATTTAAATATTTTTACAACCCATTTTCTTTAGGAGTGATAAATTTTTAAACTTCCAGCAGCAGCATATTATTGAAAGTACGACTTAAGATAAAATATTATATATATATATATATATATATATATATATATATATATATATATATAAATCAAGTGACATAACGGTCATAACAACCTAATGACAGTTGCTAGGATGCCTACTGTGGCCAGCTAACAGGCCAGATCAGGGGGTGGGGTTGGTGGACAACCTCTCGGCCCCTCTACCCTGCTGGCCCGCCCCTGATCAAATCTCCATCAAAAGCAGGCTGAACAGAGCCTGGACCCTTCCTGGAAGCCCCAAGTCCCTGGGGTTGAGAATTTTAATGGCCCTGCCCACAGAGTAGAGGTGCCTGATGAGCAGAGACAGGGACCACAGGTCTCCAGAGAGCACCACAGAGTTGGCAAGAAGAGGGATAGGGTCTGCGGAGGGGTAGGAGAATCCAGAATCCAGCCCTTCCCCTGGAGGCAGCTGGATCTCAATCCAGAACCCCAGCTTGAATCAGAAGAGCCCAAGGGAGGCTTCAGGAAGCTCTATGCAGAGCTGCTCATTGAGAAAGACTTCGTGAGGATCTGGCCCAGACCACACTGCGGCTGGAGAAGCTCAGGGTAGAGCTGGAGTGCATACCATGCAGAGGCAGGAGCGCTTTGCAGAGAGGCCGGGCCTCCTGGAGCTGGAGAGATTTGAGCCCAGGGCCCTGGAGCACAAGGCCACTGAGCTGGAAGAGGAGATGAAGAGCCTGTCCAACCTCCGGGCTGACAACCAGCGCCTCAAGGACAAGAATAAGGCCGTGATCCTAATCCTTGTCATCAGCAAACTGTCCAAATGACCCTGGAGGACTTACCCCGGCATCCAAATTTATACAGCTTCTTCTCCCATGAGAGGCCCCACCATGATATAATGGCCCCACCATGATAGACCCGCAGCCTCTCCCCCCTGCTGGCCCATCCTTGATCACATCCCCACCCCAATAGGGGATAGGGCTGAGCAGCTAACCTCCTGCAGTCCCTCCACCTGGCTGGCTATGCCTCCAATGGGCCCCCACCACCTTGATCAGGTAACAGCTACTCCCCCTGGCCAGCCCCACCACTGATTGTCCTCCCCATCCCAATAGGAATCAGGCCTAGTCAGCCAATCTCCTGTGGCTCCTTTCCCCCACCTGGCCCCACCACAAATAGGCCAACCACCCATAGCCCCTCCCCCAGGCCACTGGTCCTGGATTGGCATTCCCTACCCCATTTGGGAGTGAAGCCAGCCAGCCCACCACCCAAAGTCTCTCCTCATGGCTGGTCCCACCCCCAATCAGCCCCCAAATCCAATTGGGGGCAAGGCCCATGGGGCAATTGCCCAAAGCCCCTTCCCTCAGCTGGCCCGGCCCTGATCAGGCCAGTGGGGGAGGGCTGGTTGCCAAGCTCCCTCCATCTCCTCTTCCCAACAAGCCCAGCCCCAATCAGCCCCGATTAGAGCCAGGCCAGCCAGACCCCATCCTTGCACAAATTTGTGCACTGGGCCACTAGTAAATTAATAATTTTGATAGTGCATTTTAAGAGAACATATTTTGTTTACACAATTATGTGTAGGGGTACATTATTGTGATGTAATGCAAAGTGAACTTTTTTCTGAGGGTCCTGGTTAAAAACTTTGAAAACTACTATTTCTAGAAAAGTTGCCTGTGAAAGGAGTGGGAGAGAGAAATAGTGAGTATCACCTCAGAGAAACACAAAAGGTGCTATTTTTGTTTTTATGGTGCATTGTAATGTCTTTCATCCCAGAGAAAAATTGGAACAGAAGCAACTAATGATCTGAAATATTAATGACATTATGAGAGCTATCAAACCTATTACCTATTCAAATTTGGCATGTGATAATAATGGTTGTAATTACTATTTATGGATAAAATTAATACATAATAAATATTGCTCATGAACAGTTGGCAATGTTCTGAGACCTGTGAAAATTATTTACATTTATATTTACTTCTCACAAAGAGCCTGTGCTAGAATTACAAATTTACTCAATACACCGAAAGGCAATTGTGGGGATGACTGTTTTTGTTAGATTGGCTGAGGAAGCTGAGTTCAGACACATTACATAAATCAATCAAATGTCACACAACTAGAAAGTGGAGAAACACTGATTAAAACTTATAATTGTCACACTCATCTATATTTATTTCAGAGAACCCCACTGCTTTTCTTCTAGAAAATCTTTTCAATTGGAAAAGGCTTCCTAATGATGTCATAGGCAATCAGACCTCTTAACTTCCTTCCCTTGATATATTATGATTTTTCTCTGAAATCATTGCTAAGAGGATGAAATGGGATCTTTCCCACATGGACTGCTGCTGTTAATTTTATTTTTCTTTGACTCTGTCGTGCAGATGCAATCGCCCAAATCTGCAAGAAAGAGGTGACAATGCTCATCTCTGTGCCAGGTGTTAACCATACTTACAATTGTGACTTGCTAAAGGTGAGGCATGGTTCAAATATAAACACTTCTTTTTTTAAAATATAAATTGGGATTTCTGCATATCAAAACTTTTGACTATTGTAAAGAGTTGATGCTCTTGTGCATTTCATAGATTGCTTTTGGTTTGAGAAGGGTTGAGATTTTAGATAATAAAGTTAAAGAAGAGTTTATTTACTTTATTAAAATCAGTCATATATTGATTCAAACTAATGACTATTTTCAACCTTACCCAGAAACTAAATTTGGATATCCTTTTCTTATACTGGTGAGTTTGTTAATCAGCCAGTTAGTTTCATTTTGATGTTTTTAGAATGTAAGTTCCTAGTCATGACTCCTGTTTCTTCACCCCAATGTGAGTACAGGTTTCTAAAGTTATAGCTAAAGTAGTAAATGCAAACACACACACACACACACATTTTGTTGATGTTGTTTATATAAACTAAAGATGTGTTTAAGCAAATCTTGTCATGAAGTAGTTGAATTTTATGTCTTTTGCCATTTTTGGCTCAAATACTTATGTTTCTTTACTAAGAAGTCCAAGTATAAATGAGACCTATGCACCAATAGCAGTGATTGCGTCCTACAATAGAGAATACTTTGCCATATAAAATACCCGAGCCTTCTCACTGTGTCCATGGAAACAAGGGCTTTCATTGTATCTTTTTGACTCTGACTTAAAATCCACTCACTTTAAAATGTCAAGCATTTAGCCAAAACCAGTTTGGCTCAGTGGATAGAGCGTCAGCCTGCGGACGGAAAGGTCCCAGGTTCCATTCCAGTCAAGGGCATGTACCTTGGTTGCAGGCATATCTCCAGTAGTGGGTGTGTAAGAGGCAGCTGATCAATGTTTCTCTCTCATTGAGGTTTCTAACTCTCTATTCCTTTCTCTTCCTCTCTATAAAAAAATCAATAAAATATATTTTTAAAAAATATGTTTAAAATGTCAAGCATTTACAGATTCCCAATATCTTATATTCAATTTCGAAGTCTCAAAACAAAACAAAACAAAACAAAAACAACTCTGAAATCATTGTTTTCTTAAATGTATGGTATAGACATTGGTAGCAAAACATACAGTGAACTTTATATATCTATCTTTGTCTTTATATACCTATTCATTGTGACTGTCCATAGCACAGAAAAATCAGTATGTTTGCATATAGGTTCCAGATCTCACACACCACGTGGTGCACTAATGGTGCACATGCGGTACATTCCTATTAGCTTTCTAAGATTTGAATACTTGAAATTCCAAATGACATATGGGCCAGAGCGTATAAGAAATTGGATGCCAGTATTTATCTATCTATCTATCTATCTATCTATCTATCTATCTATCTATCTATCTATTTAACATTTTTTATTGATTTTTTACAGAGAGGGTAGAGGGATAGAAAGTTAGAAACATTGATGAGAGAGAGACATCAATCAGCTGCCTCCTGCACAACCCCTACTGGGGATGTGCCAGCAACCAAAGTACATGCCCTTGACCAGAATCAATCCTGGGACCTTTCAGCCTGCAGGCCGATGCTCTATCCACTAAACCAAACCGGTTTCAGCTATAAATATATTTTACATGAAATATAAAATGTGTTTGGTATTTCCATGCTAATTAAAATAACTTTGAAAGAATTTCCTAGAGCAGCAAACAGGATTTTTTTTTAATGAAAGAATTCCCCTTGCTTTCTTAATATCTCTAAGAATGTAAGATAAGTGACATCAGTCTGATAATTGCATTTTAATCATAGCCTAAACAATATTATGTATGGCATATTCGCTCAAATGTCATTTCTTTGGGGAGGACTTTTCTAACTGCTTGCTCTGCTTAAGGCAGAATTCATGCTATCTTATCTGGACTCTTTTGCAGCATGCATCTCTCTTGTGGTATGCATTGGTTGCCTGAGAAATATGTTCTTTTGGAACTGTCTTCTTCCTCTCTAGTCAGTGAATATCTGGGTTGCAAATATAGCTGCTTCCACAATTAAATTCTGGGCACCAACAGACCCTGTAGCTCTTTATAAAGTCTCAATGATTTGCCCTAGCTGGTTTGGCTTAGTGGCCTGTTGGTCTGCGATTGAAGCATTCTCAGTTCAGTTCCAATTAAGGGCACACACCTAGGTTGTGGGCTCAATCCTCACTAGTAGGGGGCCTATAGGAGGCAACCAATCAATTATTCTTTCTCATCATTGGTATTTTTATCTCTGCCTCCTCTTCCTGTCTGAAATCAATATATATATATATATATATATTTTTTTTTAAATGACTCAATGATTTAATTACAGAAACATTAAGCTTATTTTTTCAAAACAAGACATTTCAAAATGTTACTTACTATTTTAATATCTTCAAAGTAATTCTGAAATTTTTGCCCAGTTTTGTTGAGATATTATTTGCATATCTCTGGTATAAATTTGAAGTGTTCATCATAATGGTTTGACTTGCATATATTATGAAATGACTGCTGTAATAAATTTAGTTAGTATCCATTTTCTCATTTAGATACAATAAAAAGCAAAAATAGAAAAATAATTACTATGGTCGTCATGTTGCACATTATACCCTTAGGACTTACTTACCTTATAACTGGATGTTTGTGTGTTTTGACAACCTTTCTTAGAGATTCTTTTACATATACGTGCTGAAGATTCCTTGGTATATAGTTTGGCAAACTCAACTTACTGGTATTTCTACATATTTTCTATAAATTATATAGAAAATTTATTTCTATAGAATGTCATCAATGTATAACATACTAAGTATATAAGTATAATGGTAATGGCTTTTGATAATTTGAATATTAAGTTATCATAATGCTTATTGTTCTGGTTCAAACTTTAATTTCTTCATGGTAAAAATTGTTGTTTAATTTCTCTAAGTTGAATCAAGCGTTTTATCTCCAAACCCTCATACTACTTTAATATGTGAACTACCCTGGAAAATGTTCCTTTTACATTTGAAAAAAATATGTATGTTACATGTGTATGCTACTGGGGTTAAGTGGAATATATATATATATATATATATATATATATATATATATGGTTTACTCAGTTCAACCCCTTTGTTTATATATTATTGACATTCTGTCTGGATGCTTTATGAATTATTGAAATCTCCTGTATTGCTATTTTTTTCCTTAAGTTCTGTCAATGTTTGCTTTATATATATTTAGGTGCTCTGATATTGAATGCATTATATTTATAAATATATAGTTTCCTGAGATATTGCCCCTTTTATAAGATCCTTCTTTGCCCCTGTAACAGTATTTGGCTTAAAATCTGTTCTGTATGATATAAATGTAGAAACCCCTGCTCTTTTTTGGTTAACGTATTTATGCCACATATTTTTCCTTTTCCTCAC